AAATGTTTCCTATATCTAGAGATCATCCCACAGGAGACACGATGGATCACTGAGTGAATTATCACGAGAATGACCAGAGGTGCGTACCTAGGCACCAAACACACCTGAACCAAATTACACAGCTGGAGCAGTCATTACTGCAGCTCTTTAACATCACAAGGCAGAGTAATTACGACCTTAACCTGCGTAGATAAGAGTGGCTTTGAAGGGAATGTAATGAGATGTTAAATAAACAGGTGCAATCTCAAAAAAGAGGGGTGCAGTTGGTAGCACTGTTGCCTCACAGCAAGGTGGTTTCAAATCTCAGTTTCCCATGCATGGGCTGGTTTTCTCCAGATACTCTGTTTTTTCTCTCACAGGCCAAAAACATGCATGTTAGAGAACGTGTAAGTCACTTTGGAATAAAGGCATCTGACAAATAAATCCACAAAAAAAAAAAAGTATGAAAACATTCATCCTATAGTTGTGTAAAATCTTGGTAACTGAAATACCGTAAATCCTCTAATACAGGCCCGGGCCTGTATTTGACTCAAGCTCATCAAGCTCCAGGCCTTTATTGGAAGGAGGGCCAGTATTAGAGGCAGGCCTCTATTTCTATTTGAGCAAAATGAACTAATGGTTCGCTGGAGTTTTTGACAATTAAAATTGCGCCCACATTTTCAAAGTTAAACACATTTCTTTTAACAACTGTAGTTCCTGCTTCAGCCCTCTCCCCCCTCCCCCTGCGCAGCTGCCGCAAACTCACTGATGTGCCTGCAGCCTCTCGGAGTTCCTGCTGCTCTAAACATTAAAATAATTATTTAATTTTCTGTTCCTCAATTCTGATGACCTTCAATGGTGTCTGTTTGTTGCAACAGCAGGTACAAAAACTAACTTGTTTTTATTTGACTATTTTTCTGTCCTGCCTGTTTATTATCTTCCTGCATCTCCTCTCAATCCTAAAGAAAAACTGCTACCTGGGTTCATATATATTCACCTCATGAGTTACCTTTGAACTGCAGTTCTAAAAGATCTACCGACCGCTAAAACAGCGGAGCGCTCGCTGTTTGGCGGCTGTATCAGTGATCAGTGCGTCGGAGGACAAGGTGATGCCCGCAGCGCCTCGCTCCACAGCATGCAGCGAAACACATCAGGCGCAAATAAAAGGCAGAAAACATTAAAGGAAATGAACTGACATGAACGATCGCGTGTTAAATTAGTTTTTGAGGTGGCGACACCTGATTGTTCCTGTGGCCATGCTCAGGAGGCAGATCTACCGACCGCGAAAACAGCTGAGCGCTCCCTGCTGTGATCTGTGCGTCGGAGGACAAGTTGATGCGCCCCGCTCCACAGCAGCGATACACATCAGGCGCAAATAAAAGACAGAAAACATTAAAGGAAATGAACCGACATGAACGATCGCGTGTCAGTACCTACGGTCCGGCACAGCGCGTTGCTGATCACAGAGAATGTGATCATACGATAATTCAATAGGGAGCGTGGTTTCACAGACGCGGAAGTGATAGCGTCGGTGAAACGCCGGCTGATCTAGGAAACCCCCGAGCGTTCGAGCGTCAACGAAGTGACACGGAAATGCCGGGCTTTCCAGAAGTAAGTAAGATAACTTACTATGAGCTGATAGTTCGTTGGATTGATCGGTAGGTTGGAAACTCTGATCGTGAATCTGAAGAAATGATGACTGAGTGGTGAGCTGGAAAGGCGACTTCCGTTTATAGCCGCGGTTTGTGACGTAGGTGCGACGTGAAGGGAATCCCCGCGAGGGGCATGCTGGGAGTCCCTACTTCGCGGATTTTCATCTATCGCGGCCAGGTCTGGAACGCATCTACCGCGATAAACGAGGGATTGCTGTAGTTCATACACCCCCTACTGCTGCTCTCCAGAGTGTTCTGCAGCATAATCAGCACGTTCTCTTTGAACTTGATAGTGTTATGACCTGGCTGGGGTTGTAAGCCAGGTGCATTCTGGGTATTGTGTTATATGTGTTTCCTATCGTTCTGCTAGTTCCTATGTGCTGATTTGCGTGTTGTGTGAGTGTTATGTAAGCCACAGGGAAGGTGATGTGTGTTCTGTGGAGCGGGTTGAATTAGCATGGTTAACTGACACCGTGACTCTGTGTGGTAGGAGCGTGATAGAGGATCGTGTCTGTAGCGTTACAAAGCGTTGAAGAAAAGGCTTAAAAAAGGTCTGCGTGAACCTCTACTGCCTCCTGCTGGTTAATTTGGGGACTATAACCAGCGCTCGTACTTGCTTGTTACCACATGCCATCCGGCCACAATAAGAGACCGGCCATTATTTACCTCCGCTGGCTCAGACACCGGTCAGAATTGGAGACCCGGCCTTTAATTGAATACCGGCCTGTATTAGAGGATTTACGGTATATTTTTTACATTTAGGAACCAATAATAAACCAATTTTGAGATGAAGGTTGCCATTTGTGCTTTTATTTAATCTGGCATTTGTTGTTGTAATTCTAAACGAGCACACCTGGAATCTGTAATTCAAGCTTTTATCATCTCCCGACTGGATTATGCAAATTCCATTTTAATTGGTTTACCTGCCTCTGCTCTTAACAGGCTTCAGGTCGTACAAAACACGGCAGCCAGGTTTTTAACAAACACCCCTAGAAGAGACCATATTACACCTGTACTGGCGCAGCTCCACTGGCTACCCGTAAACTTCAGAGTCAAGTTTAAAATCTTGACTTTTGCTTTTAAGGCCCTGAACGTCTGGCTCCGGATTACCTGTCAGATTTTGTGACTCGTTATGCGCCAAACCGGGTGTTGAGATCTGCGGATTGCCTGCTGCTTCACGTTCCGACAATGAAATACAAAACGCGGGGGCAGCGTGCTTTTGGCTATGCTGCTCCGACACTCTGGAATGCTCTTCCTCTTCCAGTGAGACTGGCACCATCCCTCCTCCGGTTCAAGTCACTACTTAAGGCTCACTTTTACGACCAGGCATTTTTCAATGCCTGACTTTTATTATTTTACTACATGTCTTTTATTGACGTGATAATCTGCCTTGTTGTGCATTTTATTGTTGACCGTGTATTGTTTTATATTGTGTTTTTACTTTTTATTCTGTACAGCGCTTTGGTCGGCTGTCATGCCGTTTTTAAATGTGCTTTATAAATAAAGTTGGTATGGTATGGTATCTCTGCATCATCGGCCCCTTTTCTATCTTTCTATCTTTTGACCTTCTACCTGCTTCCCTGTAGCCTTTTTGCTGATCTTTCTGTTTTGGCTTCTTGATCTAAACAGTAGGGATGAGCGAGTACACCACTATCTGTATCTGTATCTGTTCAACCAACTAAATTATCTGTATGTGTATCTGTACTCAGAATGGGCGTGGCATAACCCGGAAGTGGGCGTGGTTTAACCAGAAGTGGGTGTGGTTTACATCACTATATTATTTTAAGTCTGAAATTGATATGGAATGATCGGAAGTTGATATTTGTAATGTTCATTTGAAAACTATTTACAGAGCAGCCTCAGAATTGAGATTAAATGCATGTATTGGTTTAACAAGTGAACCACACCTTTAAATAGTGTAATTTCTTCAAGGAATTTTCTGATTAAAGGGGAACTAGGCCGTTTCTAGAGTTTGTTTGTAGAACCAAAAGAAAAACCCATTTCCTCACTGTGCGTTCATCTTTTGACACCTTAATCTAACAGCTGAAATGCCTCCCCAGCCTTCATTAGTGTGTAAAGCAGTGATTCATCACTAAATTAAACAAATCAGCTGTGTTCATGATCTAAAACATGCAGGAAACGTGCTGTAAGCAGACTGCAGCACCAGGTATGTCAGCTTAAATTTTTTTCTAAGTCTCAACAGAGCAGCCGCCAGTCTAAAGTTGCAAGTGGAGTAATCTGGCTGAAGGGAGTGATAGGGGATGGGTGGCCTTTCATTAACCCGTCAAAGGGTCATTTTAGCTGGCTCAAGAAAATGATTTAAAAATATGGAAAAACGCAAACTATCCCTTTTTAACAAACTCATGTCACTCTGATTTCATGCTGGGGACAAGACAAAACTTCATGATATCATGAAAATATGTATTTACCATATTTTATATTTTACAGAAAGATGTAAAAATTATGCTGCTGATAACCTACATGAAAAATCTAACTAACAACATGGTTTCTGATTGAAAGACAACCATTTTGTTTTCAGAGATGACATCCAAGTGAAAGTATTATTTGATTCTATGCTGTAATAAAAGAAGGGAATATTGATTACAGTAGTTATTAAATTGAAAGGGCAGAATGTAGTTATCCTGTTTTTCTTTTGCTGTTTGTGATTTCAACAACCTGCATGACATTATCCTCTTCCTGCTTGTCTCCTTGTTAGAAATAAAATTAGTTTAGGTGCCTGCAAACCCAATTACTGGCTGAGATAGAAGGCATCCGATGTGTCATTGCATGTGTAAAAAGGTTGAGGCAGAACCATTGATTCGGGTATGTCTGATTAAATGCAAGAAGAAAGTGAGTTCAATTCTCCATTCCTGGAACTGGTTTAAAGACTGTGGTATGTGGAAAAAAGAAATAAACAAAGGTTCATCTCATTTGAACATTAAAATGACAAAGTGTTGAGAAGCAGAAAATATAAAGACACAGCTGTGCATTCCACTGATTTGTGCCATCAGAATAATAAAAAAAAGATTTGGTTTGAGTTTTTAGGACTAAGAAGGCAGAGAAAGAAATGTAACTTGAGACTTAGCTGATTACACTGAGAACAGTCTGTCACTGTGAAAAAGTTATACAAATCAAAAGAGAACTGAACAAAGGAAAAGAAAAAACTACATTTAGCTTTTTAAAAAGTGGTTTAAAAATGACCAAAAAAGACACTTCAGGGATGACTCATCTGCAAAGAGACTCATTTTTGTGTTGCTTGATTTTTTAACAACTTCAAAGAATTTGTATGACAAAGTTTTCTCAAGTTATTCGTAAAATCATAACACATACCAAAACCATCTTGAGTCAATCTCAGTTGCACGAGTTCATGAAATACAACAGTTAGTTTGTAAACAGCTGTTAGAAAACATGTTTACAACATTCTCCACAGCCCCAGATGTGGTGGAAACCAGCCTTCAGCTTCTGTACATCAACCCGGTGTCGGTAGCGGATCAGCTTGGGGGCCTGCGCCTGCTGATGACACCACACTAGATGATTGGCTGTGTGTACAACTAGCAGAAGTCACATTACTACTTTTGTAACAGCTACGTTAGCACGTTGACAATGAAGAATTTGATTGATCTGGACAAATTTGCAGTTGTAGTTCTTTGCGTCTTCGTAGGAAAAAAACTTTCACAAATACATCTATCATTACCATAGCTAGAGTATTTATATTGTAAAAGCATTCTTTAAGTAGAAAGTTAAATGTTTCAACTTTAGAGTGGGAGTTCATTGCCTGTGAGTGATATTTGCATCAATAGAATATGTACTTTTAGAGAAAAATGTTATTACTGATATTTGGACCAATAAATAATCCCAGACAAAACAAGATAAATAAAATTATCTATACAGTGGTCCATCGTTTATCACAGGGGTTATGTTCCAACAAAAAGCAAAATCTGCAAAGTAGCCAGCTTCGTTATTTGCAAATATTATAGATGTTTTAAGGCTGTAAAATCCCTAAGTACACACTTTATACGCTTTTCTCAGACAGGCATTAACATTTCACACTTTTCTCTCTTGTATAAACACTCTCAATGTGCTGTTAGAAAAAGACATGCAAACTTGTTTATTTCATTGTGTACTTGGATTCCTGACATTACATAATAGAGCCTCTAAGATGTAGTTTTAATACAAAAAAAACATTGTATACTTACTGTAACTGAACTGTGATTGGTTCTATTCTCATGTAGTCCCACCTCTCCCAATTGCTGATTGGTTCTTTTTTCTGTTCGCCAACCTTTTCCGTTTTCTGATTGTATTGTCATTAAAGTCATATATCATTGTCGCCATGTATTAATTCGTGGGAAAAAAAATCTGCAAAACTGCTCAGTCGCGAAGGGTTAACCGCGTTATAGTGAGAGACTACTGTAAACACAGATTCATTCAGTCACATAGGAAACATATTTCTTGGGGAATACATGTTTATGTTGCCAAAAAGAAATGTGAAATAAAAGCAAAAAAAAAAAAAAACAATTGATGAATTAGAGAACCTAAGCAGCTTTGCAGCTTTGTTGAAATGAGGCAAAATTTAATTAGTCAAGAACTTTATTGAATAAATAGTGGGTTTAAAAGATAAGAACTGATGAAATATACAGAATAAATCAACATTTATGCAAACATCTGGGGATGCTAATTATGTTAATCCATTTTTTAAAATCACATAAGAATTTTGAGAGCTTTTTGGGCACAGAGTGATGTAGATTTTTTTGTAATTTCACATTTTTACAAAGAACAATATGGTGTTTCATTAACAAATTACAGTTATAAAGAAAACATTTAGATGGTGAGGAACATATTTATTTCTGAGCTTCACATTGCTTGATTTCTGATGAAAAAAATGATGCATGACCAATGGACGAGTGACTCTTGCAAAAACGATTGGCCTAAAGTCAACGAGGAGCTTGTGTAACATTTCTGCTTCTTTTGAGCAGGATGAGCATGTGTCCTAGGTACAGATTTAATGAGACTACAACTGAGTCCCTCTGTAGATTTTTTTTGCAGAACCTGCTATCAACTAAAGGGGCAAAACGGTGATAAAAATCTAGCACTAGCACCCCCTAGTGTCTGTTCGTAGAAACCGAAAGCAAAACTTATCTCCTCACTGTGCATTTGTCTTTTTAATACCTTAATCTAACAGCTGACATGTCTCCCCAGCCTTCATTAGTGTCTACAGGAGTGAGTCATCACTGAATTGAACAAATCAGCTGTGTTTTTTATTTCAAATATTAAACAAATAACAATAATAATAATTTGTAACAGTCAATTGTTTGAAATGGAGGTAGGTTGAAGTATGCACTTTTAAGACCCTACCCCCTTTGCATATTTTAATGTTTCAAAAGAAAAAAATAAATGAAATGCTAACTAAAATATGATCTAAAATGTGCAGGATACATAGCAGCCTGCAAGTCTGAAGTTGCAAGTGGGATATTCTGGCTGCAGGGGGTGATAGGGGCTGGGTGGCCTTTCATTAACTCTGTATAGGATCATTTTAGCACAAACTGGCTCAAGAAAATTATTTAAAAATATCAAAAGTTGCGAAGTATCACTTTAAATTATCCCCGATATTTGCATTCAGTTGTTGTGCAGCTGAGAATGCTGCAGTGCATGTGGTGAGCAATGAAAATAAGACACCATCGTATTTTGAACTCCAACTTTGAACTAGGGTGAGGTTAGGAGGTTTGATCAATTTGCCCATTTATGTCATGTTTTAAAATAAGCTTCGTGTCACTGCTGTTTTTAATATCTGGCATGATGCGGTGAGCTTAGTTTTTAAAGAGGCCGTACTCATTACAAAGAGTTTGAGAACCACTGGTTTAGAGCGTAATGAGGACACAGGGGAGCATCTTGGGGATGCAGAAAAAATCAGTTTGAGTATCCAAGGCATAGCGGTGTCACGATTGCCTTCACACACTTAAGGAGATTTTCTTAATTTAGAAACGTTCTGATTGGTCATGGAGCTCTTGAAGAGAATAGTGAGGTTATCATCCTGTAGGAAACAACGTTTTAGGGGATTTATCTTAAGGATTATTGTTCAGCAGAACAATGATGTTCAGTTCTTGCTCTCTTAATAGAACAGAAAAGGGTCAAAACACACTGAGCAGTTAATTTTTAAAGGCTTTATTGTAAAACAAAAAGAAACTGGAAGAAGGTTAATGGATTCATGTCACCATGCCATACACATTAACAACTGCCTCAAATAAAGTCAAACAAGATGACCAAGAGAACCCAAATTGCATAGAGTAAGGCACAAGGGGGACAAATGATTATTCCTGAATACAACGGCACTTTGAGCATGACACAGAGGACATTCACTAAGCAACCAAGAAAGATTTGAAGCTCTGCCAGAGCCCATTTTAACTCTGCACTTTTCATTTACATTAATTTGATCGGGTTCAATCCTCAGCTCTTTATCCGAATCAGCCTCTTGCGGTTCCAGGGGAAACCCAGTGAATACACAGCTCAACGCTGCTCCCGAATCCATGCATTTCATTTCAATTTAATAAGATGTCAGTGAGCTGAATTAGTGTGGCAAATGCAGGATAGTGGTGGGGAATGACTGATAATTATCTTTCCTTGTCGTCGAGCATAAAAAATGTGTTAAATGCATTTGGAAATTTTTATTTAAGGATTTTAAGTCTGTGAAATTTGGTTTAATCAGATCATTTAGCAGACATGGCTCTTTACCACAACAACTGTCCAAAATTATAGCTGCTCCTATATGTTCATGTTTTCATCTTCTATCTGTGAGAGCAGCACACACAGGAGGTACACAAGCAATATCATTTAATGAGAAGAAACAGTAAGTTTTGTCATTATAATCCACTTCATCTGATTCCGACCTCAATGTGTTGGTTGGCCTTCTTTCGCAGTAATACTCTTGTCAGATTTTACAGGCTTTGAAGCAATTATTTTCATTTTCAATAACCGATGATGCATAAATGGCAAGATCCCATTCTGCCCGGCTGTTGTCTTCCTGATTGTAGGCAAAATTAGTGCAGAACAAATCAAACAATGGAGAGTTTTTGTAACAGAATGAATGATTTTTATAATGCTGCTGGATAGTTAAAATGGAGCCAGCAATTGCCACTTCAAATGTATGCTTTGAATGCAGCTGTATAATAATAATATTTTACCCAAAAAGTACAAAAAGCTCAATAATCTTTGAAATCACACTTTAAACTTAACAAAATCCTCACACAAAATGAGAAGGATAATCTGTTTTTTGTTTCTTTCTTTTAAGCTTTTTTTTTAATCCACTCAAACACACTGGTCACAATAACAAAAGACACTTAATCATCCTTTTCAAGTAGCTTGACAATTTCCCATTTTTCACACTGCTGGGCCACATCTTGCGGTGTGGACCCAGAGGAGTCCTGCAAAGACCTCTGTGCTCCATTCATCAACAGAGCCTTCACGGTGGACACACAGCCATGCTGCGCAGCCAGGTGTAAGGGTGTGGCTTTTCCCGAATTTAATGCATTCACATCTGCTTTGTGTAAAATGAGATGCAGAACACACGGAAAGTTTAGGCTGTTGCACGCCACATGCAGTGGCGTCCACCCCTTTTTGTCCTCTTTGATGTTTGGGTCGGCTTTGGCTGACAGAAGCTTTGCCACGACTTCTGGATGACCTCGGTAGCAGGCGAGGTGCAGAGGAGTCCATCCATTCTGACCTTTCGAGTTCACGGTATCACCCCAACTCTCCAGCTGCACCACCACAGCTTCATGTCCTCTCAGAGCTGCCAGATGCATAGGAGTCCACTCCTGGAGAGTCTTAGACTCTGGGTTGGCTCCGTTTGATAAAAGCTGCCTACATATACCTGCATGACCTTTTAGGGCAGCCAGGTGAAGCGGTGTGCATCTCCTACTGTCTGGACTGTCCGTATTCACCCCACTCTTCAACAATTGTCTGACAATGCGATTGTGGCCTTGATCAGCCGATAGATGAAGAGCGGTGGATAGGGACTTGTCGGTGGCATTTGGATCTGCTCCGTGAGTGAGAAGGAGCTTGACAATATTAAGATGTCCATAGGAGGAAGCGAGATGAAGTGGAGTCCTTCCATGCTGTTCCACCTGGTCTACAGTTGTCCCCTCATGAAGCCGTGACAGCAGCAGACGCACCACGGTTTCATGGCCGTTCTGACTTGCCAGGTGGAGCGGCATCCATCCATCATTTTCCAGAACGTCTGCAACAGCTCCTTTGTCTAAAAGTAGACGTACAGTCCTGTCGTCACCGTTCTGCACCGCAAAGTGTAGAGGTGTCCACCCATCCTCATCGCCGTGTGTGACAGTCGCTCCATGTTCCAGCAACAAAGAGATGATGTCATGTGACCTGATTACAAGGAACATATTTTGACTAATAAAATACTTGAAATAACATCACTATGACAACAAACCTTTAAATTACAAATAACCTGTTTTTTTTCAAGAAGTGTCCACATAGCAGAAAAGTTCTTGTCAGCATTTTTAAGCTGAAACAGACTTCTAAATGACAATTCAACTGTCCAAATACACAAAGACTGATACCAGGGATACTAGGCAGTTTTGGCATGCTTTTAGCACCCCCTAGTGTTCCGTTAGAGAAAGCAAAAGTGAAACTTATCTCCTCGCTGTGTTCACATCTAAAATATGCTGGAAGCAGACTCCAGGGCCAGGTATGTCAGCTCTACTTTTACTAAGTCCAACAGGGACTGGATTGGCACTGTAATGGCATTTACACATTAGCGTTGGCACGGCCCCAAAAGGTATCAAACGGCTCCGAAATTTGGTTTCAAACACAGGTCCGATTAGCGTTTTTGGTGCCGAGGCGACTCTTTTTCTCAGACCTTCTAGGATTGGCACTGTAATGGCATTTACACATTAGCGTTGGCACGGCCCCAAAAGGTATCAAACGGCTCCGAAATTTGGTTTCAAACACAGGTCCGATTAGCGTTTTTGGTGCCGAGGCGACTCTTTTTCTCAGACCTTCTACCCAGCGGTAAGACTGGGACCGAGGCGACACTACGGACTGATTGGCCGGCTAAAATTACGCCTACCGCCTCCGATCTGTGAGAAGAATGGGGCAGCGGGGGGTTTTCCACATGCACGATTGATTTTCATGCGAGATGCTGTTGAGTAAACTTCTGTCTGTAGCACGGGCCTGCCGTTCCAGAGCTGCCAATCAGTGTGGGAACGGGAGAAGAGAATAGCTCTGTGTGTGTGTGTGTGTGTGTGTGTGTGTGTGTGTGTGTGTGTGTGTGTGTGTGTGTGTGTGTGTGTGTGTGCGTGTGTGTGTGTGTGTGGCTGGCACAAGATTATGAGAACACACACAGCAAATTAATAAAACGATGGGGTTCAGAGTCTCCAAAAGCAACACAGCGCATGTTCACCTTTACCTTATGGAGCGGGCTTTCCCGCGCATATCAAACTCCGCTCACAGGCTCGGGGATTTCCGCATTCCTGAGTAGTTCCTTGGGTTTTTATGTGAACACTACACCACCCGTTCGAGACGGAACTCACGCCATCCAGCCCGACCAAACCCAGACCGTGCCGACGCTAATGTTAAAGTTAAAGTCCCATTAGTTGTCACACACATTGATGTGTGTGCAAAATTTGTTTTACGCATTTGACCCATCCCCTGGTGGAGCGGTGAGCTGCAGACACAGCCATGCTTGAGAACCATTTGGCGGTTTAACCCTCCAATCCAACCCCTTATTGCTGAGTGTCAAGCAGAGAGGCATTGGGTCCCATTTTTTCAAAGTCTTTGGTATGACCCAACCAGGAATTGAACCCTGATCTCCCAGTCTTAGGGCGGACACTCTACCACTAGGTCACTGAGTTGGTGTAGGCACCATAAAGTTGCAAGTGTGATATCCTGGCCACAGAGGGCAGTGGGTGTCTGAGTGACATTTCATTTACCCTGTAAAGGGTCATTTTATCACGTACTGGCTCGAGAAAATAATTTAAAAATGTGAAAATATGTCACGGCATGCCTTAAATCACAAAAAGAAAGTTCTGTAAACATCTCCTTTAGATATAAAATATTTGCCTGAAATTGTTTAACTGTGTATTTCATTCTAAAAATTAAACTTCATGGGTGGTTCCCAACCTGAGGCTTGTGACCTCCCCATGGGAGGCCCCACAAGACTGCAGGGGGTCCCCATAATTTTGTTGTGAGGCTATCAAGTCCATCTTTTTAAAATATTACACCCAATAATATAATCAATGCTCTGTGTAAGAGTTATAACTCTGTATTTATACACAACGTTTGTAATAAATAACTTTTAATGTGTATTCGGGTAGGAGTTGGGGTTCGGGTGCCCTAGCTTGTCTTGGACACAGAAAAGGGGGTTCTTGTGAAAATAGATTGGGAACCACTGATGAATCATTAGAGATTCATTGTTAATTCAGGGTTTTTCCTGCATTCAAATTTGCGTGGCGGCTGCCTCCAGCTAATTTTGTGCCGCCCCAGCCTGATTTCACTCTGTCCCCAGCTATATGGATGTTATTTTAACTGCAGTTGCAGAGTTGCACCACTACATGGGCGCTGTATCAGCAGCGGTGCACCGAAAAGCACTAAAACTGCTGCAGAAAAAGATCAAAATTTGTTTTTCTAGCTGGTACATATCTATGGTTGGTGCTATTGACGTCCTGATTTTCCCCCAGGCTCTTCATATCAGAGCAGGGCTGTACAGTGCGACGAAAAAAACAGTCTGTGCATGTCTGTCTATTTTTAAACGTTGCACTGGTGCAACATCTTTGAATTACTGTTTTCCCCAGAACTTTATTGAACAAAAGTAAGTTACGTGCAAGAAAAATGATTTTTATTGGCGCACAGTGTGGACATCTGGATGCAGTGGAGGAAAGTAAAGGAACCAGCAAAGGCAGAACCGGTCCAAAGTTTGGGATCAAAAGCGCAACTACAAGCAGACTGGCTATACTAAAGCTAACGGGTAGCAGTCTTAAGATCAAGTGGCGCACAGAAAAATGTATGATGATCGTAAAGCTAAGAACGACTAAACTCTACAAGCAGATTAAAAGTCCCCACCATCCTGTTTTCAGATCCACATCTGAAAACCTCCTGGCTGTTCCTCGAACCAGACTGAAAACCAAAGGGGACAGGGCCTTTCAGACTATTGCACCCAGACTTTGGAACAGTCTACCTTCAAATCTCCATCTCTCTAACACTGTAGAGGTCTTTAAAAATCATCTAAAAACTCACCTTTTCATCCAGGTGTTCCCTCCCTAAATGTTTCAAAATGATGGCTTTGTTCGGGTTCACACCTTCACTTTGTTTATACTCATGATTTTATTTTCTACTTTGTCACTGCTATTGTTTTTCTGATGTTTTTATTGGTTAGAGGTATTTGCCCTGATCTTTATCATGTTGTACAGCGCTTTGTGGTTTATATCTGTGAAAGGCGCTATATAAATAAACTTTTACTTACTTACTTACTTACTTATCCTGCAGCGCTTCGGATCAGAACTGCTGCAGATACGAGTCACATTACACAAGAGTAAGGCAAGCCGTTGTAGTATATAATTGGCAAACGCTCTATCTTTGAACATAATTTGAACTGGATTATTGCCAACCCATACACAACAGACATGTTAACAGCAGAAATTAAATGTTATTACCATTTCCAATAAAAATGCATGTTAATGAAATGCTTTATATTTTACTGGACATATTTATGTGTTATTTTGACTAAGATGAGTGTTTTTAATACAAACCTAAAATGTTACTGAAATGTAGGTCAAGTATTAAAAATATTTTAACTATAAATATGAAATGGGAACAAATGAACTAAACACTAATCTAACGCATATTATTGAGCCTTTCATAATAAGAGTCTGTTATTTCAGCCTGATAATTTTGTTGTTTTTTTTTTCATATTTTTTACAGCAAACCAGTTTTGTTTCACTTGAAACGTTGACAAATGGAATATTCAATTAATCAACAGAAGCTTAGATTAGAACACTTAATGAAAAAATATTTGGCCTTTAAAAAAGTGAGGCAGTTCAATGCACAGAGTATGCATGTGCTGGCACATGGTCAGGATGGTACCACCTCTGCCTCAATTTGAGCCAGGAAAAACCCTGTAATTAAGATGAAATCAACCTTCCTATTAATCGTTGAAGTCCAATTTGGCTGTTTTAAACTATGGGCAGACTTTGGTTGGTTGTTCCATGGTCCCAATTGGAGTCAAATAAGGACTTTGATTCCAATCAACATCAAATCTCTGGGATTGTGCAACCAGTGATACGTCACATGGTCAATGAAACCACAGTAGATCAGCAAAGCTTTGAAATTTTTGCAAGTGGGATTGTTTTGTTGTTGTTTTTTTTTCCTGACAGATCAATCCAAACAAAGTAGGTTCAGAAAACAACAAAACAACACAAGTTAGAGAAATAAATCAAGAAAAAGCATGTGGAAGGGAAGATATGGCTTGACTATTTCTCACACTGACTACACAAAGTTTGGGTAAATATAAAATGCATGAGCTCGTAAACAGAAATGATGCAGGTATTATTGTTATCGGGGTCCCTGCATGAAAATATAATGTAGATTTGTGAGTAGTTCGTCACTGCACTTCATAAAATGTCAACAAATTCAAGCTCCAACTACAAAAAGTTGTGCCTCTGTTACCCCAAAACAAATTGTAACCATATTTTCATACAGACCTTTGCAGAACAGCAATTATAAGTGGAGTGTAACCTCTGGCAGTCGTACAGTTGACCTCAGCGCCCAGACTCAGGGCATGCTTGACACTTTCTAAATCCCCGCTGGCCACCGTGAAGTGAAGGAGACTCTTTTGGCCTGAAAACTGTGCACATACATGCTCTTTCTTCACAGACTGCCTGAAACCACTGAAGTCCTTTTTGGAAAGCAAAAACAGAATGCCGTCCTGGCCATCGCCTTTGATATGAAAAGAAAAGACAGAAATGCTGATCAGAGTTTGCTGATTCTACTGTTACTGGATAAAGCTGTGTGTCCGTACATAGAGGAGGACAATCTATGGGCATTGTAGCTCAGTCAGTATCAGATAAAGGTGTAAATATGTATTTGTGTTTGAGCAAGCTGATAAAACACCTTCTATTCCCTGCTCTAATAATTGAATTTTGAAGATGGAGCATATCTTGTCACCATGTAAGCTCAGGAAGTCTTTATGAACCTGCAGCAGATTGTGATGATTTATTTTAAGACAGAGCAGCGTTTTGCCTGAGATGCTGTTATTGATGCTACTAATTTTCCAGTTCCACCTTAATCTTGCAATTACTTTTTTTTTATTTCTAAGCCTAAACACATGACAAGTGTGAAGCTCTAATAATAAAGCAAGAAGAAACAATCATGTTCAAACACTTATTTGTTTTTGTCAGAATTCTATTTTTAGGTTTTTTACAAACTAAATCTTAACAAATGCTTTGAGTTAAAACATAATTTATGGCATTAAATAACCCTAATTTATCAAAAGGTAAATGGTCTGTATTTGTATAACATCTTCTTGGGGTTCTACAACCCCCCCAAGGTGCTTCACAACACAATCAGACATCCACCCATTCACACAAACACTTTCACAAGCTGGTGATGATGAGCTACGATGTAGCCACAGCTGCCCTGGGGCACACTGACAGAAGTGAGACTGCTGTAAACTAGCACCACCGGTCGTTCTTTCTTTAAAGAAACACCCTACCATCTTTACTCAGATGACATCCAACTGTACATCTCCTTTAAGTCCCATGAGATGTCTAAGCTGCAGCTGTTACACACCTGCTTAGACTCTATCAAAACCTGGATGGCTGGGAGCTTTCTACAGCTGAATGAAGATAAGACTGAGATCCTCATCTGTGCCCCCGACAAGCTGGTTCCCAAAGTCAGAGACTCTCTTGATCAGCTTGCTTCTCACACCAAACCATCTGTCAGGAATTTTGTTGTGACCTTTGACCCAGCTCTCACCCTGGATTCTCATGTCAGTTCTCTTGTTCGCTCTTCCTTTTTCCATCTCAGGAACATTGCTAAGCAGAGTCCCATTCTGTCTCGCTCTGAACTTGAGACAGTTATCCACATCTTCATCTCCTCACGCTTAGACTACTGCAACTGTCTAAGCAGAATCTCCCTGAACCATCTACAGGTGGTTCAGAATGCCTGTGCTCGGCTTCTGATCAAGTCCTCCAAACACACCCACATCACCCCGCTTCTCCTCCAGCTTCATTGGCTGCCAGTCAATCTCAAGGTTCATTTCAAGATCCTGGTTCTGGTCTATAGGGCCTTACATGGACAAGCACCATCAAACATTGGTGATCTTCTCAGTACCTACACCCCCAGCAGGTCCCTGAGGTCCAGTGCCTACTGGTTATGCAGCGCACCAGGCTAAAGACCAAAGGTGACAGATCATTTGCTGCTGTAGCCCCCAGACTCTGGAACTCTCTCCCCCTGAGCCTGAGGTCAGTGGGCTCAGTGGTCTCCTTTAAAAGCAGCTGAAAACTCACTTGTTCAAGCTGGACTTTTTGCGGACCTTCGTCATCACCCTTTCCTTATTCTACTCTTATTCCGTCTTTCCTGGGAGCCACTGATTTCCCTTTTTCCTATTCATCTTCTCTCCTTTTCCTTACATTTTTTAATTCACAAGTTTTATATTTTCTCATTTTAAACATATTTTTAATCATCTTTTGAAATCTTTTAATAATGTTTTTGTTTTTGTGAAGTTTCCTGGATTTTTATCTTGAGAGGTGCTATATAAAAGATTGTTTTCTTCTTCTTTCTTTTTCTTTCTTTCTTTCTTTCTTTCTTTCTTTCTTTCTTTCTTTCTTTCTTTCTTACCATCAGCAGGCAATGTCGGTTAAGTGTCTCGCCCAAGGATGCAACACCCACATTCTCTGGTGGGAGCTGAGCTCATGCCTGCAACCTTATGATTACTGGACAACCCGCTCTACCTCCTGAGCTACTGCTGCCTCTAAGTCTCATTAAGGGACAGGTATGAAACATTTCCCATAATAATGTGGTTTGTTGTTTTCATTTCATAAAAATATAAATTATTGAACAAATTCAAAAGATTCAAAATAATTAAAATAGTTTTGTTTTCATTTAAAGGACAAATTGAACTTTTGTGGCCCGTGAGAATAGATCATCATGTTATGTGTTTGTTTTTCATCAAACATGTTTGCGATTCCTTTCCTTCGTGTCCACATTTGTATTCTGAGTCCATGTCTGCTACGTTTTAAGACAAGAACAGAGTCTTCTTCCTGTGCTTACCTGAAGGAGTGTCCGACGCCTCGGGTAATGTGACCTAAGAAGATGACAGAGAGGAAAACCCATTTTTATCTGTCTATGAACAAGCACATACATACAAGAGCTGTTTAACCCTCTGGAGGCAGGTGTTGCAGATTTGCAACGTTAAAACCTACCTACCTGGTTACTCCGCATACGTATTTCATGAGCATTTTTTTTACTCAGAAGTACCCCTTAAGGACCTAGTTATTCGTCCTTTCATCAAAACTTATTTAGAGCCTGAGAGGGTTAAATGAAAAGTATCCAACCTGGAAAGTGAAAGTTCAGATCTTATGAAGTATCTGTGGAAGGGTCATAAACTGTTACGATCTTACTTGTAGCTCCCTGAATTACCTAAGTATGGAGAAATCTGCTCTGGCCAGATTGACCAACTACCAATATACCACCAGGGACGGTTATTGTGGCATATTTTGCTTTGAAATAGCTAACAACGTTTTATAATTTCCACTGGCATGTACGTTTTTTTGCAGCAGAACTGTAACATGTCTGGTCATAATTTGAAACTTCCAACGGAAAATTATGTGACTGAACTCAGCTGGTAGACACCCCATCATGTTATAAATCAGAAATGGGATTTTTTTGAAGACTGTAGTTTACATCAGGTTCTTTTTGCTTTCCTGTGAAGTTTTCTGTTTTCCTGGCAGGCTAACCCTAACCAAACAGAGGGTGAGAACAAAATAAAGTATAAAGGGAATAAAAGCCAAATGCTTGAGGCAAAGTAAAGAGTAAAAACAATACTCTCACACATGAGTCATTTTTTTGGTCTCATGTAAACCTGCAGCTGCTCCACCCTTATAGAGTGATTCTGCTTTATATGCATGCAGTTTGATAGGATGCTCAGTCATGCATGCTGGGAGTCTTTTGCATAGAACAAAATCTACAACTGGTGTGTTGAATCTTAAGATGATTAAGGCCACAGCTTTGTAGAGTTTTACATTTTCCTCGCAGTCAAGTGGCCTTTAAAGTCAGATTGTTACAATCCATATTTAAAGCAGGATCCAAACACAGGATTAAAGAAGTAGAGACTGAAACTTTTATAAACAAAAAGAGAAGGTGAATAGGGGTGGGAGTCTTGTAGAAGTCTGGTAATTGGTATTTTGTGTCAGGTGAGTGGAGAAAGAAGAAAGCCAAACTAGTAGAGGAAAACCAGAGGAGACCCTGAAACACACGAACCAGAGACCATGACACCCACTAGACATGATGCAGCACTATTAAATAAGACAACACATTCTCACACCCAAGGCATCAAAATATGACGCGTGTGACCAAGGGTCAACATATGACGATTCGGGACGGCCCATCGCGTCAGGAGACGACGATCAGGGACAAGCTGGGTCACGTGGCTCTGCTGGCATCACTGCTTGACGCGCGCGGTCACACGGACATTATTCGACTATTTAACCTTCCCCTCACCCCAATCCCAACCTTAAGGTCCATAAATTGTGGCCTTAAGGTTAGGATTGGGGTGAGGGGAAGGTTAAGTAGTTCACAAGTAGTTCTAATGTCCGTCTCACCACCGGCGTCGGATACCGACGCTCTGGGACGCTGCGTCAGCAGTTTGTCCCTGATCGTCATTTCCTGACGTGCTGGGTAGTTCAGAATCATCATATATTGAGGCTTGGTCACACGCGTCATATTTTGACGCCTTGGGTGTGAGAATGTGTTGAATAAGAGCATTAAGCAGAACTCACTTCATGTGCAGGGGAGACCAGCCATGGGTATTTTGTTTTTTGTCCAGTTGTGCCATTTTTTTGACAATGGATTGACCCGGTGAGCATCCACGTTTCATTCAGAGATTCTGTTTTTTTCAAAATGTCTGGAGACAAAACAGGAGGAAAACTTAAATTAAAGATGAACTGTTAGACAAGTGGGATTAGTTCTTATTTTTACCAATATAGTCATCTCAAATTGACTTCCCAAACTGACAAACAAGTGGCAAGTTGACCCGAATGAGCAGTGTAATGATTAAAAACTATGCATTACCACGCTGGTTACCAGTAAACTACAGAATCAATTTCAAAGTGCTTCTACTAGTTTATAAATCACTGAATGGCATGGGGCCAGATACATTTTGAATCTCCACTTTGTGTATACACCCAGCAGGACTCCGAGATCCTTAGGAAACAGTCAGCTGGAAGAAACTCTGGGTCAGAACCAATCAGGATGAAGCAGCTTTTAGCCACTACACTTCACACAGGTGGAATCGGTTCCATCATGACCTCAAATGTTACTGAACTCTAGTAACTTTTAAATCAAAGTTGAAAACTTTCATGTTTTAATCAGCCTTTGAATGACTGTCTCTTATGCCAGACGTTCTGCACTATAACTGCTCATTCTTTACCTTTGTCTTTTTCTTTTTAATTTTAAATCAGATTTTGATTTGTGTGTACTTTAACTGTGCTGCAATGTTGATTGTTCTTGCTATTCTTGCTAATGGAAAGCACATTGCCTCCGTGTATGAAATGTGCTATACAAATAAAGCTGCCTTGCATTAAAAGACTCCGAGGTACTAGAGACGTTCAAACATTTTAACAAGCTTCTTTAACTGAGTAAAATATTCTGTCATTTGTATTCTCCTTGATTTTGATCTTTTAATTTCTGCACCTGAAAATTCTGGTCTCTTTGTGGGATCCTTTTCCCAGCATTCCTTCATGATGCTGATCATCTGGTCACTCCCTTGAGGTCTCTGATCTGGAATAATGTCTAAGCTGGGTCTCTTCCCTTTTGAGACCTGCAGGATCAACGTTGTCACGCGGTCCCCTACAGCACAAAAAATATTTCAATTTCTTTGCAATAATGTGCTGCAGTTATGTATTTTATTTTTTAATTTTTGTATACCTTCAATTCACAATAAATGAAAATGTGCACAAATGTATCCTGTTTGCAAATATAAATAAAACAAACAACACGTGCCAACCAAGTCAATAACCTTGTAAATATATTTATGTTGCTAACAAAACAACACATGCTAACTTTAAGCCCTGAAAATAAAGAGAACTTTAATGAATAAACAGTTAAGATTACACAAATTTCACTGAATTTGTCTTCCACCTACTGACTGGCAATCATATTTAAACGTTATTTTCTTCAATATGGTGTTTTACAACCTGGAGCATCATACTAAAGCAACTTGCTAACTCAACTCAATCTTCATTTGTAAAGCGTCTTTCAGGCACAGGTGTGCAAAGCACTGTACAGACATATATCAGTGATTAATAAGACAAGGATTAAACAGAATGAAAATTAGGTTAAAGATTATAAACAGGAATAAAAACAATAAAAACAGCATACAAATCACAATTAAAAAGAAACACAAGCAGACTAGCGGCCTCGTGTAAAGGCCAGATCTAATGAAAAAGTCTTTAAGGTTGGTTTATGCTTGACGCGTCCGCGAGGTCCGCACGGCTCCGCGTGGAAAAGTTGTGTCATTTTAACAACCACGCCCCTCCACCGCGTCTCCGCACGGCCCAAAATTTCCGCAACGCGCACCTAGGAAATTTTCTAACCACGCGGATGGTCAGACGCGGAAAAGCATGGCGGACCGGCAAGAACTAGTATGGCAGAGGTTAGTAAATACAGACATTTGTATGATTCAGCTCTCAAAGATCACCGTGATCAACATGTTGTTAATAATTCTTGAAGAGAAATAGCTTGCACTGTCGAAAAGATGAGGACGCTGTTAAAAAATGCTGGGATGCCATGTTGTAAACAGTAGTTTCTACTTCTACTGTGATGTAGTGTTGGGTGCGTGCCATGTAGAGCTCCATGCTGCCCCGTTCAGTTTGGGAGAATATTGGCCCACCGCAGAGACAAGCCGCATGAACCATTAACGCTGCGAGTTGTGAAGCGCGTTCCAGCCGCGAGCCGCATCACCAAGCGGAAAGTGAATGCGTCAAGCATAAACCAAGCTTCAGCCTGATCTTATAAACTGTCACTGATGGTGAAGCACACACATCAAAGGGTAACTCATTCCAGAGTTTTGGGCCCGCCACAGAGAACGTCCTGTCTCCTCTCGTCTTTAAATGAGACTTAGGGACTGTGAGTAGCAGATTGTTGCCAGGGCGGAGTGCCCGTGCTAAAGATAAAAATAAGAGATATTTATTTGAACTAAACTAAACTCAGGTTTTTATTTTATTTTATTTCATTTTTTTTAGTGATTCCAGCAGAAAAACTCAAGAAGGCTTCTGGATTAGAGGCAAATTACCATCAAGAAACACAGGAAGTCCAGTTGTCTTTTCTGACTTTTGTACTCTGAGGATTTCCATGTCTGGGTGAATTATTTACACCAACATTTGGTGTACTGGTGAGCTCTCTTTGATGCAAATGTTGATGGTTAAGTGAAAAGTGACCAAACAAAATCACTAATTAGTAAAATTTTCATAAAACATAACATTTTAGGACTTTTCTTGATAACTTTTTTAGGGTTCTACGACCGCCAAAGCACTTCACAGTTCAATCAGACATCCACCCATTCACATGCTGGTGATGATGAGCTACAAAAGCCGCAGCTGCCCTGGGGCGCGCTGACGGAGGCAAGGCTGCCGAGCACTGGCACCGCCGATCCCTCCAACACCCACCAGCAGGCAAAAGTGTCTTGCTCAAGGACACAACTCTGGTGGGAGCCGAGATCGAACCTATAACCCTCCGATTACTGGACAACCCGCTTTACCTCCTCAGCTACTGCTGGAGGACTCAGAGAAGCATGGAAGTGAGGCGGTTTGGCAAGACCAAACATGGAAAACTTGTGAGATCATATCGATCCTTACTGATTAAAATTTAATACCATATTTTAAAAGCGAATGTGTTTTTGACTTATTTTCTGCACTTATTTTAGCATTTTGTTTATTTTGTGTGCAGCGTTAAAACATTTATGGGAAAAAGTCTTCAAAAGGGCATGGCGCTTTACGGTTTAATGGATTATGTTAAATGCCACATGACTCCTTGCCATTTAATTCGAAGCCATGATGTATTTCAAATGAATTAATTCTTACCTGCGTACGGTTTCTGCTGCGTCAGTATCTCCCACATCACAACTCCAAAGCTGCAGATCAAAGCAGGAAGATGCTCTCAAGACATAATATTCTGTTTTTTGCTCATTGTGCATTCAGTGAACTTTTGAAGCTTCCACTCTCTGACACAGCAAGAAAAAAAGTTTCTTATTTTTCTTACTGTCATCAAATAGATTATTGATGATCCAAAAGGGCAAGAGTGTGTCAGATCAGAGGAAGTTTACATTGGTCCTGTATCTTCTGTAGCATTGCAAACATACAGAAGAGAGGAAGATTATGCTGTGTGATTTGGGGGTTGTGCACTGAATCGTGAAATGAAATGCAACAATTCGGTTTGTGTACTTTCAAAAAATGCCCTCAGCAAGTCACCTGTAAACATCAAAGGTAGTTCCTGGTGGATCGGGGCACTGAGTGAAGGTCTCAGGAGGAATGTAGCTTATGTTACCTCTGGCCAGCAGACGCTCCATGAACACCGCCTTACTCATGCCCTCCTCCCACTGTATTATATTGAAATCTGAAATCTGTGGAGAAAAAAAAACAAAGAGAATGCTGCCATTCAATTTTCTGAGGATTTCAGGCAATATTAAAAGATCACTGTAAGCTGGCAAAGTTTCACTGACCTTCACATGAAGATGATCGTCTAGCAGGATATTAGATGTTTTGAGGTTAAGATGGAGCATTGGGGGTTTCATGCTGTGGAGGAAATCCATGCCCATAGAAACCTCGTGAATCATCTGGAATTTCTTTGTCCACATTAAAGTGTGACTGGAGAGGAGATTGTTCAGGGATCCTTCGCTCATAAATTCCACCACGACAGCAGTTGCTTCGCTACAGAGTCCATAGATGGATATGACGTTCTTGAACTTTAGTCTGGCCGCGTTGGACACCTCTTTGGATATGTTGCTGTGTTAGAGAATAACAAGGTGAAGGTGCGTTCCTTGAAATATGGACTAAACAAAACTTTTCATTGATTTAAAACAATTTTTGCAAAAAGAAATAACAAGTTAGTCACAATTTATAATCAACCTGAGAGACATTTACACATACAAAACCCTACCTGTAAAAGTTGTTGGCACGCAAGGTTGTGTCGAAGGTTTTCAGAGCACATTTTTCCTGCCCCAACTTGAGTTTGACTTGGTACACCTGACCAAATTTGCCTTCTGACAACTTTATCCAATCAGCCTCAAAGTCGTCCTTCCGGAAGTCCCTGAACTGTCCGGGAGATTCATCTCGGCAGTCCATGAGTACAAGGATTCTTTCAAACAAATCGTGACGCCAGCCTCACTCTGTAATCCCACACGTAAACAAGGTTTAACCTACACATCAATATCAGTCAGCAGCACTTTAGAAACCAGCATGTCCTGCAGAGAAAGAGAAAGTCCAGAACATTAACAAATATTATGTAAACGGAGGCTGGTTGGGAAATCAAACTACACACCTGTATGTTCCTAATCTCTGGGAGGAGCTGAGCAATGCTATGTTGCACAACTGGTTTTCAGTTGCTAAGACTGCCTTTTACACTGTGTGAGACTGCATTAATATCTAACAACTACGCCTGTCCTCTGCTGTGCCACAATGATGAGAAACTCCTGTGAAGCTGTAGCAAAAACTGTGTTTTAGTCATCGTGTGTTTACAGAAGCAAACTGTTTAATGAACCATCGACTTCTGTTAAAACTGAGATTGATTAGAATTTTGACCCCAGTTCCAGTGTAATGGCTGAGCGATCTGTATCAGAAGTTGAATAAACAACCACTTTGAGTGTGTTTTGTGTGGGAAGCAAGCTGCTCCAACACATCTGGTCAAAATAACACATGCATAACTTGTTTTAGGAGCTGTAATGAAACTTGAACTCTACAGAAGTTAGTGAGGATAGTACACAATCTAAAACAAGTGACTTATCAATAAAATCTGTTTCTGCCTACTTTATCAGACTCTTAAGTAAAGACACTATTTGTCTCGTCTGACTTGTCCAACAAGACTTTGTCTCCTAACCTGTCAAAACTGTTCGTGAATTTTTCGCACAGCTTTGTGTTTCTGAGTTATTTGTATTCTCTCCACGAGTTGGATTTTAACCTCACTGCCAACCGGTTTCTTTCTGATTAGAGGGGCAATGAAAGCTTTCCAAACTGTAGTGCAAACACATTAGAGGTCCATCGTCTTTGCCTCACAATGTCAAGGAAAGGGTATGAGGCTGTTGTTTTTCCTGCAGTTACTGTGCAAAATGTTCATATTTAAGTTATGAAAAGGGGCAATAATGTCTATTTTCACAACATCTTAATGTAATTTTCAAATGTAACATTTACTTTCTGCTTTTGAGAATGTGAAATGTACTAAACAATGGTTGCAGTCACTCTTTTTATTTAGATTAAATAAGAATTGAAAACTAACAACCTATTTTTATATTTATTTTCTAGACTCTTTTTTTCCAAAGCAACACACGCAATTTTGAGTTAATGATGAAGACAATTGACTTGATTTAGCAAATTCTGGAAATAAACAAAAAGACTCTCTGAGTTGGGTCAATTGTCTGAGATGATAATTAATAAAAAAAAAATAAAACTTATATTTGTCTCTACTTCACACTGGAAGCATTAGTGACGCAAAAAGGCAAAGCAACGTTGCTGCTACAAATGGAATCCATTATAGTCTATGGGTGTGATTCAAACCAGCCGCAACGCGTTGCAGAAGCATCACGCTGCACCACTGAAAGTGGGCTTGGATTCTATTTTTGCTGCAAGCCACTTCTGGGATTTGTCTAATTCCGTAGTTAGCATAGTGCTAGACAGGAAATCACCACACTTTCAATGTAAAACCTATGATAATTTTGAAAATAAAAGACTATTGCAGTCAATTTCGTATCTATGTAAATCACGTCAATACATGTGACCTAAGGGCTTATTTCCTCCCAGCATCGTTCCAGAAGTGCAACGGTGTGTTTTTCATGGCTTTAATCCTGGCAGTGGAGAGACACAACATCATATATGACATAAAACAGCGATATCAAGAGTGATTTCCTTCTTTCTGGTTTAATGGTAGATGACATAAATGAACAGTGGCATTTGAAGTCTTGAGGGATTTTGTAATCTCGCGAGTCCAGCGAGGAGCACGGTGGAGAGGCCGTTCCGCGGCTGAGACTCGGTCCGTGCTGGCATGCAGTGAAGCTTGCAAGTAAACCGCTCCACGCTGCTGGTGCTCCCAGTGTTGCTCAAAATGTAATTTAAAGGTAGGAGAAATAGAAATTCTACAGTAAAATTATCACAGAACAGTCTAATGTCTCAGTCATGTTGGAAAGTAGGTTACATTGAAACAGATTTCCTTCTATGGAGTTGTCAGGACCAAGGCCATTTCTCAATACTCAAGGACACTAGTGCATTCTTGTGTACTAGACAAGTATGTTCTTGGCATGGACATTAGAAAGTCTGTTTTACTGTGGACGGGAGGACGGTATTTGGAACAGAACCGTACTCAGTTGTGTCCTGGCAACAAGCGCTGCTTATTGCTATGGTTAAAAAACAACCTGACATACAAATAAGTCTAGTGTGTTCCTTAGAAAACAAAATAACAACAAAAATGATGATCTGTGTTATATTTGGCCCACTTTGATCAAAACTGATAAAACCAGCATTTCCCTCACTCTAATGAATAAAAAAGTTTATTTTTCATCAGAACAGAGCTACGCTGCTTTTATTTTGACAGTGGGTTAGCTAATTAGCCTTTTTAGGGATCGTGAAGAGTAAAACTCAAGCACACACAGCTAAATTTACAGGTTGCACACAATTATTTACAATAACATGTAACTTTAGATTGTTTTATTTGTATCTCTAATATAAAACATTACAGTTATTAGCTTTCTCCTTTGACGTTCGGAGTTTAACGGTTTGCAACGCTATGCAACATGGGAAACTTTAATGTCCCAAGTCTGCAGAAGGATGCATCCTCGATACAGTAGGTGGAGCAAGTACACATCCGGCAACTGTGAGTGAACTTACCATTATGCGTACTTAGGATTGGAGCAGTCTTTGGGCCATTGTTGATGACGTTTCACAAAGAATTGTGTACACAAGTTTGGACAAGTATGCGTATTGAGAAACCAATGTCTTAGTTTACAATCAGAGAGCCAGCGGGGTTGCCAAGTCTGCGCCGGCAAACCCGGATGTGCCAGCTTTTGTAATACGACATGGGGCATCAAAACCCTCAAGAGACGTGGACATTTTATTAACCAGTAGAAAGAGTGACCCAGAAGTAATTTCATGTAACCCTAAGAAGCCCTTGGCCATATCTAAACAAACTTAGCAAAAATGTTATCTAGAACCCGGTTAAGTTTTCAAATACTGAGCTCAGACTTGGTAGAGGGATTCCCAGCAGACACTTTTGTAATAATTGTTTAAACAAGAGCTTGCTAAATTGCAAAAGTGAGTAACTCCAGAAGCACATTCCTTTAGAGACTGGTATGGCTTTAACTCTCTAACAGAAATAGTCGAGTAACTAATGAAGCAATTTCTAGAATTGCTTAGATTTTCAAAAGATGAGCCTTAAGATGAGCTTTTCTCTAAGGTGACAACCGTTTTGCCTTGATGTAAAAAGGCTGATTTGTTACATTGCTCTTTCTGTCTCAAATCTTGTGACACCATGTATTTCACCTTCTGTATCATTTAAGAAACTTCTCCTTTGACAGGGAAAAAAGCAGAAATGGCTTGCTTCGTTTGAAGAGATTATTGTAACAGCATGTTTTTATAAAGGAAGTGAAACCAAAATGCCCTGTGTTGTCGTCTGTGCTTATTCCCACTTGCTGTTCAGTTACGGCACCACCATTCAGCCTCATTTCCTGCTACATTTATCTGGGGACATAAGGTCTTGTTGCAATTTAAAGAAAAGGGACTCGCATATGTTCATTCTCATATACACACACACACACACACACACACACACACACACACACACACACACACACACACACACACACACACAAAGAGAGAGACATATATACGTGTAAAATTTTTTCCTGGGGGTCTCTGGCAGTGTTGGCAGTCATGTAGGTATTCAGGCCTTCTCCCTCAGGTTCTTTCATTTATAGCACATATAGCACATTTGGATTCAAAATGGCTCCTGCTGAGACTAAAGCAGGGATCTCCTTTCAAAACTAAAACTCATGTGCAAACTGGACCAGGCAATACTTCTTATCTTGTGATCCCTTTCCAGATTTCATACACTAGAAATTGTAAATGTGATTCATTAGGATTTCTGCTCGTAAATCTCACGAGAGTTCAGCCACAGGTCAGGGTGGTGCGTTTATTTCTCCTCCTCTTCTTTGCTGTGAGCCAGCTCTTTTTTTCACAAACGCAGTCAGAAGTTCTGATTAATAAGTCGACTTCAATAGGCTCCCCGCCGATTCTGCTCGTCCATGTTTTTTTTAAGATGCGCTGGCTGCTTCTGCTGGGAAGAAGAGGATTCACAGCCCTGGGATAATTTATGTTCACACAGCCCATGTCCCTTCAGAAACCCCAAACACAAACAGCTATAAAAACATGATTTTGAGGCTTCATGTGATTATTGTTTATTTGTTTGTGCCAGCATATTGGATCATTATGATGGGCTGCGAAAAGTCCTTGGCTGAAATACATGAAGGCACAATCTGAGACATCAGTCAGAAAAGCATGAAAAAAAAATCCTAATTAAACCGATTTGTGTGATTTGAAAACTATTTTCCACCTCATCGGCTCACAGCTACATCAACCATTTATTATTGCGCTTATACCTGACACCCACCCTGCCTGTGTTTTGTTTTTTTACAAGCTATTGCTCTTAATTTGGCCAGTAAGTCTCTACACCTGCTTCCCTGCTTACTTTAAGAATGCTGTAATCCACCTGCTACTTTAAAAACCGAGTCTTGATGCCTCTCTCCATAGCAGCTTCAGACCTATCTCTAAACTTCTGTTCATCTCCAAGATCTTGGAAAAGGTTGTGGCTAAACAACTCACAGCTGCTCTTGATGAACATAACATCTATGAAAGCTTCCAGTCAGGTTTTCGTAGAGCTCATTCTACTGAAACAGCTCTTCTTAGGGTCTCTAATGACCACAGCTCTTCTTAGGGTCTCTAATGACCTTCTGACTCACAGTGATGCAGGGGACTGTTCTGTTCTGGTCCTGCTGGACCTGACTGCAGCCTTTGACACTGTTGACCATCACCTGCTACTGGAGAGGCTGAGAGACTGGGTAGGCCTATCAGGAACTGCTCTGGAGTGGTTCTCCTCTGATCTTTCTGAGCGCTCCTTTTCTGTGGCCGTCTCCAAGTTTAGGTCCTCCACCACCTCCCTTACCCATGGTGTCCCACAAGGTTTTGTGCTGGGGCCTCTGCTCTTCCTCCTCTATCTGCTTCCTCTTCAGCACATTCTGAGCTCCTTCAAAAGAATCGCCTGCCAT